GTGAACAGTCTTCTAGCTTGGAGGCTAGACTACTTGCACAGCAAAGGCGACCACGAGCCACTTTGATCGCGGGGGCTGTCTTTAAGGAGCTGTAATGCATGAGGGACCAAAGGGCGGAATAGGTCGCTCTCCTTGGCTGCGCTCTGGTAAAGCTGAGCCTGGGAATGGGATCACTGTCCGTGTCCGGGAGGGAAGGAAACGTTATCGCGCCATCGAGTGGCCTCCTCAACTCTCAAGTTCTAGTGCTAGACTGTGCTCATACTTTGCCGCCGGATCAAGCGAGCTTGCGAGTCGACATTTTGAGGGAATATGCGTTTTTCCAAGATGTCCAATCTTTAACGAGCGGCTCTGATTGATGCCCTTCCCTTTGTCTAGCAGGCCTTCTCCCAAAACGTCGACTCGCCGATAATTCTCCCATCGCTAGCTAAGAACACAACCTCGGGCTTCCATAATTGCGCCTATTTCAGTAAGATTTTGTTCGTTGGACATAGTCGTACTTATGCATGGTAAAATGCACCTTTAAGGTAACTTATCAACTAAAGATCCTGACCACTGCATTCTTCTCGGTCACCATGCTTGGGAGATCGCTCAACCGTTTGAAGTGGCTGGCTCTCATTCTGCTTACAGGAGGAGTTGCACTCGTTCAGGTGAGTTCATTTTACTCGTTTTCCTGTGCCGACATGGCTGAGGAACCATTTTATTGTACTAGCTTCTCTTCTGATCTCCCTTGATTTAACTCAGTTCTCCCTTTTCTCGATCTTCCCTTTACAACTAAATCTCTACAGTTTGCGTAAGGCCCTCATCATGCAACTCCTCTTTCTCTTCTCTCGTCAGTGATAGAACACTCTTCCATTTTATTTGCTTGCAGATTCCCTCTAGTATTTCTTATTCAGATGCCAGCTGGAGGTGCAGCCAAAGGAAGCACAGCTGGCAATACTTCAGATAAAATCGTTGGACTGCTGGCTGTTTTAGCAGCATGTTTTTCAAGTGGTTTTGCTGGTGTATATTTCGAGAAAATCCTGAAAACCACAAATGTTTCGTTATGGATGCGTAATCTTCAACCTAGCGCTACATTTTTGCTTCTTCTGTGTTTTGAAAACATCCTAACAGCATTACGGACCGCGTGACTAGTTCGTGCTGCTAATTAAGTGAAAGAAGATCGTCGCGATTGCTCGCTAAAGACAGCCTTATGCTAGATTGTTATCATACCACGCAAGCATGTTACTCACTGTACACTGATCAGATACCAACGGTTACCTAGCTGTCAAAGGGAACGTGTTGCGTGTTGAGTGTTGTTGGTGAGGTCCTAGTGTCAATGCTGCGTGCATTGATCACGTGATGAGTGGCAAGGAACACTGGCATATATGTCCCCTGTCACGCGTTGATGTGTTCTTGAACTAGCTGCAGAACGGTGCCCCCTTGGGTTATTTGCGGTTACCTATCTCAGGTTTTATAAATGGCTACCGAAGTCGCTTGCTGGAGAGAGACGTCCGGCCGAGTTGGGCGAATACTGCCTCGAGCTGCCGAAGAGCAGTATTTATGCCCCGAGAAGTAGGTGGCACAGGTGGCTCCTGCTTATTGGTTGGCGGCCACTCGCTACGGGACTGCAAGGGTCCGCCGCTAGTATCTTGGATTTAGTGGGTGAACGTTTATAAGGAGTCAAGCGGGGAGTGACTTACGTGTATCCTATTATCATGAGCGGAGAGTCACGACACTTGTCTGGAAGGCCATCGTTCTGCGCGCTATTGTGGTGAGCTCACGAGGACATGACGAAGTGTTATTCTCCCCTCAGGCTTAAAGAAATGCGGACCACCAGAGTCTGCGCGCACTCTCAAGAGGGGACTTGGGCGAGTAACTATTCTGAGTACAGTAGCGCTTTGTCTTTTATTAAGTTCCATCTTTGTGTTCAAATGTTCTCTGTGTGCATTTTCTACGTTGAAGGAACAACTTCGATTGACAAGTACTAGGATTAATGACAAAACTGTACAAAAATGATTGTAGATGCGGATATACACTCGGCACGGCGTTCGCTCGAGGTGTCAGAATGCGGTAGTTGAACATCAAAAATGCTTCATTTTCAGCGTTCTTCTCTATTTTTGGAGGTTTCCTGATGTGCTGGCTGTACGATTATGAGGCCATTCAGAAAGATGGTTTTCTTCAAGGATACAACAATATTA